GATTCGGAAGGAATTGAATGAGTCTAATAGTGATTAAGACGGTGTTTGGAGTGATTCATCTACTTACAGGGTCTCAGACTCAACACAGACGAGTACATCAAGTGTCTTGTGGGGCTCGTGCTTTCCTGAGTCAAGAGGAAGGCTGCTGGAAAACCCTATGTCTGACAACATGACTCTGCACCATACCACACAAGCAGGAGAACCCAGTCATGACTGTCAAGCGACATCATCGCTTCTTACATCTGGCAACTAATCAGTCTGCAACCTCCTTGATTATTTTTTGTGGGGCACAGTTGAGCGAGAGACCAACAAACACCTTGTAGAACCAAAGATGAACTGTAGGCAAGGATTATGGCAGCATTCTCAAAATTAAACAAGGCGGCCATCCAGAAGAGTTGCAGAAGATTCCGAAGTCTTCTGCGGTACGTGGTTGAAGCCAATGGCGATTTTATTGAATAAATTTACTCTTTAATATTTCAAGATATTTTTGTGTAATTTTGGTAAATACATCTGTTAAAATGAGATGTCAGTGTTATTTTCATTTTTGCGCAATTTAGACGACAATTTATTCATCGCACCCGGCATATATAAACTCTTTATTTATTTTTTTTTTTAGATATTTAAATAACTTCTGTTGGTGATTATAAAATCCTCTACTTATTTGCATCTTTATAAATCTACCATTCGTCCATGCATTGAATATTGCTGCCATATCTAGTCTGGTACTTTGAAACTCTCTTAGGTCAGTCAATTTTGATCTTCAAAAATTTAAGTGCAATACCAATGGTTATATTTTCTGTCTTGTTCTTTCAGAGAGGTAGCACCTGTTAGGCTCCTATCCATGAACAAATAGTGAATCCCCAAACAAAAATCAACAGTACCTTTTATAGCAAAATGACAATCAATGCAACACAAATATATATATATATATATATATATATATATATATATATATATAAAAACTACGTTTTATAGTAAAATTACGAACAATACATTTTTATGCCCTACAAAATATATATTTAAAAAACATGCCTTTACTTTAAAAGTATAAAATTATGTACAAAATATTATATTCCGGCATTAAATAACCCATGTAGGTTGATAAGCCGCAAATATATATATATATATATATATATATATATATATATATATATATATATATATATATATCTCAGCCAACAAAAGATTGTTCCTTTATTGTTCTCTCTATTTAATAGTGTTTTTCTTTCTCGTATTCTCTAACACTCGGCAACCCCTTACGATTTAGTCGCGTTATTGTCTTGCTTGGGGGTGAAACAAAATAAAAATTAAATCTCAACCTCAATTCGAACTCAGATCGCTGATTTTCCCTAATGAGCTGCTAAACATACCTTTACTTGCATATCCCACGCGTATATAAAACGTTCGATATTATAAGTATTCATATCGATATTAAAATCTATTGAGTATGCTGATGTATTCATCTATGTTTAGTTAACCTTCCTCCACCTATTCCGCTAATTTTTCTCTCCCTCTTTTATACATACTCCCCCTCCTCCTTCCTCATTTGTAGTCGCAGCTCCTTCCCTCTACGATTTTGGGCCGCTGACATTCTCGTTTCTCCCATAAGAGATTCACAAGCACAAAAGGCGGAAAATCTCCATGGGAAGGAATCAACAATGAACACGAGTGGCAGTTGTCTGTTGCCACGACTACGCTTGCGTCACACGGAATAGGACAATGGTCAGTGTCAACGTTTGATTAAACTGGGTTTTGATGATTCGTTCGTCTAGTTACAGCGTTATCAATCGTCAGTCGTCAACGTCACCGGCCGCTATGACGGCCGTCGCAGTCATTGTGACATTAAAATAGTTTCACGTTCTTATATACAGGGTGCGATGGGTAAATTATCGCCCTTTTAGATTTTTGGATATAGTCGACTGCACTATAGAGTAGGGTCAGTTGGTCACCGTCTGTGTAAAAAAGAGCGTCATGACGCAATTCTCTCCGACACAAATTTGGAAACGGCATGCAGTGCTGCTTGGCATTCGTACCGGTAGCTCCAATACGAACATTTCAGAGTGTTTGGGTGTCAAGCTGAGGACAGTGCAGGGGATTCGGGAAGAGTTGAATGAGTTTAATGGTGATCACGAAGGCACGGCAGCTCGGAAAACCAACTGTGATCGTTCTGGCGTTCTAGCAAGAAAAGAACTCCAGAATTTGTTGGTGAGGTCCTCAAACTCCAAACAGATGCCTACATCAAGTGCTTTGAGGAGGTAGTGCTACCCTGGGTGGTTGCTGGCAAGAGGACTCTGCACCATACCACATAAGCAGAAGTACGTAGTCATGGCGTTCAGACAATTTCTGCAACCACATCGCAACCTAACTAATCAGAATGCAACCCCTTGATTATTACATGTGGGACGCAGTTGAGCGGGTGACCTACAAAACCTCTTGTAACATCAAAGATGAATCGAAGGCAATGATTATGGCAGCATTCACCAACTTAAATAGAGAGATCCTCCAGAGGAGTTGCAGGAAATTCTGAACTCGTGTTTAAAGCCAATAACTATTTTATTGAATAAATTTATTCTTTAGTATTTCAAGATATTTTTGTGTAATTTTTCTAAATATATCTCTTAAAATGAAATGTCAGTGCTATTTTCATTTTTGCGTAATTTAGAATAACTATTTTATTGAATAAATTTACTCTTTAGTATTTCAAGATATTTTTGTGTAATTTTTCTAAATATATCTCTTAAAATGAAATATCAGTGTTATTTTCATTTTTGCGTAATTTAGACGATAATTTATTCATCGCACCGTATATATATATATATATATATATATATATATATATATATATATTATAAATTAATTGATTTAACATATGTTTTTTTTTCGCTACACAGTTTTAACCAGGTCTCAAAAATGGAAGCTAAAAGCTCCGAATTTAATTTTGTAATTAAATTAAATTACAAAATTAAATTCGGAGCTTTTAGCTACCATTTTTGATACATGGTTAGAACTGTGTAGCGAAAAAAATATTTTAAATCAATTAATTTATAATATTAATGCTCTGTAAATTTACATTGAGCAGTATTTTGTAAAAATAAAAATATCTATAAGAACACCGGATTATATATCTTACTGTTCTTTCTTTCTATATATATATATATATATATATATATATATATATATATATATATTTCGATAAACGTGCAATCAATTTACAAATTCATGAATTATTCACAAAAAACAAATGCAAAGGTTAATGATTTAATTGGCGAGAAATCCATCGTCGCAAACAATTCAAATAATATACAAAACCTCCGAATCCGTTATGAATGAAAAGATCCTTGTTTCTATAAATTTCAGCCGCATTAGTTCTTATTTTTACTACAAGCTTTCGTCTGTTACTACAGACATCTTCAGGTATGGAATAGTTGTTGTTCTTGTTTTTTTTCTCTTAGTAATAAGAGGACAACGAAAATATGTATTGTTGTATCCGAAAATGCTATTGGAAATGAGTTATTGTTTTTGGAGCGTGCAGTAGCAACGCTGAGTTTGATTTTAAATTTTTTATGGATTTCTCGCCAATTAAATCATTAACCTTTGCATTTGTTTTTGTGTGAATAATTCATGAATATATATATATATATATATATATATATATATTCATGAAACAAATTAAAACCGAATGGATTTTTAAGCATCCTATGCAGTTATATATATATATATATATATATATATTTAAACAATTTAGAGTCATTATACTTTTTAAGGCACTATTTCGGCCAACACTTTTTAAAAAAAGGAACGTTTGCAAAGCTCACTTGAATATTCAGTATTAAGATTAAGGCGGGGAATAAGAACAATAAAAAAATTAAATATGTCGAATAAAATAAATATATTTTAATTTTAAATATTAGACGATTAAAACTTAAACAGTTTAAAAGTACAACTTGTGAGAAAGTTAAAAAAAAACAAACAAAAAAAATTCTCAAACCTCCAAATAATTGTAATGAAACGGCGAAAATATCTTTTTGTTTGCTCAAATTAGGATGTAAATTTTTTTTTTTTTTATTTTCAGGTTATTTAAAACAACAAAATATTTTTTCGAGTAAGAATTTTGATTTGGAGATAATAATAAACTCCCTGATACAAATCCTACTAATTAATCCATAGTCTGGGAGAGATAGATTTATACCGTTTCCCCAGGCTTTTTTTCGTGTAAGTTGAATGTAATGAAACCGACCTGAATTTGAACTCAGCTGTTCGAGTAACAATTTCGATCGGTTATCCATCACACCACCCGCGCATCCGAGCTTACAGCATCTGGTATTTCCAAGCGATCACCCACGTCGGCACTGACCAGGCTCTACGTAGCTTAACTTTGGAGATCGTACGTTATGCGGTGTTTCTACAAGATATGGCTGTAGGTTTTCTCAGCTCTGGATTAATAGCAGCGTAAATAAAGAAATCTTATTATATCTTAATCTTTTAATAAATTAATCTTTTGTTATTCACACTTCAGTCTGATCTTCGGTTGATCTTCATGGAGATAATCTTCGATATTTGGGTAGAGATAGTATCTGCTTGTTCCTAGGACTTTGGCAATGAGGCAGAGAACAAACAAGGCCTGCTACTTGGATTAGTCTTGTTTGGCGTATAAAAATAACATAGCTTTGCCTAGAGAGACAGAATTCTAATAATGTTTCTTCTTTTTGGTGTTTAAGACGAAGAATCGTGAGTAATGCGAATTTTGATTAGTCAGTCAATTAATTTCATGGGAATCATTATCTTCTGTGAGTTCCAAAAGAAGAACGTACAAATAAAAGATGTCGGGAATTTAATGACGCGTTTAAATTACGTCATCCAGCAGAAAAATAATTCTATTTCTAAAACTTTTGTTTTCGTTATACTTTATGTGAGTAAAAGTATTTCTGCTGTTGTGTATCTCATATATTAAAGACAAAATATCACTTTTCGAAAGTTGTGTGGTCCGGTGTCGTGGGTGTACTGCGCTGGACGTGTCATCAAGTGGTTACATTTTTGGCGGTCGTGGGCTTGATCTTAAGTTGCCACAAAACTCTACTCTGTCTAATCAGCCAAGTAATCTGCTCCCCCAGTACTGTTCAATGAAGAGTGGTCTTCGAAAGTCTCGTCTGATCTTGTCAGATGGCCATACCGTTTTATATTCCTTTTATCCTCTATCCTCAAAATGTCTTCATAACGACCAAATTGCAAGGAGACTATATATATATATATATATATATATATATATATATATATATATATATATATATAGCAGCATGGTCCGGCGTTGCCGTGCTTGATTCAAAAATCGTACGACTCATACAAACAATCGCTATCACTTGACTTAAAATATTTTTGCCCTTCCTTTGCCTTTAAAGAAGTGTCCTTTGTCGTGCTGATGTTGCTACATGGCTTACTTCTTGCCTATCTCACGCTGCGAATTTTTTCTAAGCTCTATACTAAACATTAAATCTGTTACGAAAAAGAACTAAACAAAATGAACACAAAAATGATCAGCTTTAAAAAAAGACTCGTCACTGGAAAAACCGAATGAAAAAAGAATGTTAACAACAAAATACTTTTCACACCCAACCCAGTTCTGCGGAATCAGAATCAACGTTGAGTTTAAGCAAAGCAATGAGCCAATTGGAGTAAAGTGCCATGCAGATTTAAATTTTTCCACTTGTGACGAATGCAGCTATCGATATTTTTTTGCATCTAGCATGCTGAGTTAACATTCGTGTCAGTCAGCTGTTGGCTCTCACGCTGGCCAATAGAATCTTCCTGCCTATTCGTGGCTGCCAGCAATAGGCTCTCATTCTGGCCAGCAGAAAATAGCCGCAAACTACATGAGAACTGCCGTGAAGTATGAAAAAATCGATTATTTCCACTATCGATGGGAGTTGGGAAATGCAAAAGTCGGTCTTGGCCTTCCCTTAGAGCATGTGCATGTCGAAAAATTGCGGGCGTGCATTCGTTACACACACACACACACACACACACACACACACACACACACACACACACAGTCACATCCATTCCTTTTATTAATATATATATATATATATATATATAAATTAATCGGATCCATTCATTGATTAATTAACATATAGTAATATATTATTATATAATATATATATATATATATATATATATATATATATATATATATATATATTCTGTATATGTATATATATATATATATATATATATATATATATATATATATATATATATATATATGTGTGTGTGTGTGTGTGTAACATGTGTGCGTTTGTGTATGTATATTATTTATATATATATATATATACATGTATATGTATATTTGGTGTTTTTGTGTATGTGCGTGTATCTTTATATATATATATATGTGTGTGTGTGTGTGTGTGTGTGTGTGTGTGTGTGTCTGTGTAAAAATATATAGAAAATAGGAAAGAACTCGTTAGGTAAATAATCCAAAGTTCTTTAGTATTTTTGTTATTATTTGTTAAAAAAATAGTGCTCGATACAAAAGTAGAGCATAAATATAATTATTTATTTAAAAATATGATTACCATATTATATTGAAGTTTTCGGTCTTGTTTTGAAACATGAGAACTCTTATGTAGCGATGGAATCATATGTTTAAATAAATAATTATCTATCTATCTCTATATCTATCTATCTATCTATATATATATATATATATATATATATATATATATATATATATATATATATATACATATATATATATATATATATATATATATATATATATATATATATATATATATATATATATATATATATATTTATAACATTTAAAACTTTAGTAATATTCCTCCAACCAAAAAACAAGGATAGAAGTCTATATAAATTTACGTCCAAAAATTCTTCGTTTTTGAGTTATAAAATTCAAGCTAAATTTACGTTAGATGGCACGATGTTGCCCTGCAGACATGGTTACATTTCTTATTCGTGTACATTTGTCGCTAGGTTGTCTTCAACGTTTAATGTGTATCGTAGTGAGATAACTAAGAAGTGTTCCGTTTAACCATGCCAGGATATTCATAAGCAGGCAGATCCGATTTTTACATACGGACGGATGAATGGTAATGGACGCGAGGCTGCACGGCTGTATCAGATTACGTTTCAAGATTGAAGGCAACCGAATCATCCTACCTTTGCTGGTGTTTATCGTCGCGTTGCTGAGACAGGATCAGTGGCACCACAAACTATGGATCGCGGAAGACCGAGAATCGTTCGCACGCCTGACCACGAAGAAAACATTCTATAGGCTGTCGTTGACAGTCTAGGTATCGGCACACGTCAAGTGGTCCTAGCATTTCGTACATCACTTTAGTACCCCATGGAGGGTTCTTCAACAGCAGCAGTTGTATCCGTATCATTTGCGACGTGTCTTTCGGCCTCTGATCACTCAGCACGGGAGAACTTATGATTTGATGCGCCAACTGCCGCTCCGTTGTTTGTCTCTTCAGTTTTGCTCTAGGGTGAGGCAACATTTGGAAGAGATGGAATAAAAAAAAAATTACACAACCAACATTTGTAGACGGATCGGAATCACCACGGTAAAATACGGGCTGGACATCAGCAGCAGCAGTTTACAATTAATTTATGGGCTGCAAAGGTAGGTAACTCTCAAGTAGGTCCAACTGTTCTCCTTGAACCTCTTACAGGAGCTGTCTATCCGCATAATACCATGGGAAGAGTAAACAAAGAAGAAGTCTGAAGGATAACAGAAAGGAAGCAGACACTTCTACTCAGAAGCAAATAGAGGCAGCTGAAAATTATGACATATACCTTGACACGTACAAGAGATATTTCGAACACACTTCCAGACCTGCTAGAGGAAGTACCCCTGCTAATACGAAGACGCATGTGGTTCATACATGATATGGCCCCAGGACATTTTAGTAATATTGTTCGCGATGCTCTGATTGATATTTACCATGAAAGTGAAGGTAGTGGTGGATAGGTTCCATAGCCAGCACGTTCAACCCGAACTCAATCCTTTGGATTTGTTTTTTTATCTGTGGGGCCATCTAAAATAATTGGTTTATGCATCAGACATTAATAAAGCTGATACGCTTCATCGACGTGTCATGGCGGCCCGTGAAACGATTCGATACCGTGTGGGAGTATTTGAAAGCGTCTGCCAGTCAATGATCTGATGCGTGCATGCCTGTATAGAGAAGCAAGCGGAGGACATTTTGGAAATTTCTTGCTGTGTACACCGATTGCCTTTTGGACATTTTACCTTGTTTTGGTGTCTAGAAACCGTCCCCAACGGTTGTAAACTCTCTCTCTCTCTCTCTCTCTCTATATATATATATATATATATATATATATATATATATATATATATATATATATATATAATGTGGACACTGTTTCAACACCGAGCGACAACAGTCTGCAGTCTGTCCTGAAGATTGCGTTCAGGCATGAAACAAACTGTTGTGGATCGATGTTTACCTCAGTGTCTACCTTTATATTAAAGTCAGTGTCTACAGCAACTGGTATTCCTGAGAGGTCAGCCATTTAATTACTGATCATGTTCGTCTCTGCTTAACTTTGGTGATCGTAAGGAGTACCCCAGCCGTAAGACAGATGAAGAGAATAGTGGAAAGAAAAGAAATGTAGTTTTACATGAGTATCTGGATAATACCATTGGACGCATAACCAAAGAATAATTCCGAAGGATAACGGAAAGAAAGCAGACCCTTTTACTCAGAAGCAGATAGAGGCAATTGAAATTTATTAGAGATAATACCGAGGAAGGATGTTTCGGAGAATTAGACACGTACAAGCGATACTGAAGGTGAAATTGATCTGACTAGATTGTTTGAATGGATAGTACAAAGGGAGATGATAAAAAAAATGTTACTGAGTGCCACAATGAAGATGTGGAGAGCAATAATCGCCCACATGTTGAATGGACACGGCACAAAGGAGAAAAAGCTGGAGAATCGATGATATTAAAATTACTATTTATGTACCGTGAATCGGAGAAAATCAGTGAAGTTAAGCAACGTCTAAACCTGTCATTAAAACATTTTTTCTTTACAGTGAGTTTTCCCCTCTACAAGGCTTGGGAGCCACTCGAGGTAGAGGGTTACAGAGTAAGAACCATACTTTAAGCGGATATGTCGTGGATATAACGGTTAACCCATGAATTGAATAGATTAAGATTGTAGCGATTGGGAAAACCTTCTCTTGGGAATCGTTTCCACAACGTTCTCGGGAGACGTTGCTTGAGTGGAACTTCTCACCAGTGTATTACGGGGGAAATAAGGCTGATTCACTACAATTTGCGTACTAAGGCGGGTCCTAGCCGTGAGGGTTATAACTGGTGGAAATAAGGAATTTTTTTTGAGGGGGGGGTAGACTTTCGATGGA